CATTTGGGTATACTCCGGCCTCTTACACCGGGTAAAGTCTCGTAATTGGAATGACCATTGTCAGCCGTGATTGATCTACGGCTGAATGAAAGCCTCCCCAGCTATCGTCATCTCTCAAGATCCCAACACAGGATTCTGTCACGTTGACAAAAGACAAATAGTTCACTGCAGTCACGAAAGCTTTCAATCAAAAGATGCACACATTTATTTAAAAGCAAACGGGCATGTGTGGATACTACCCTTTGACCTGTATCACAAGAACAACGGGTCTCACCTGAGGGATCTGTACAGGTTACTTCCAAAAACACAAACTTTGTCCTAACATCACTTATTCAATGTTTGACCCTTATAAATAAAATGTTGCATGTACACAAAATCAGTGTTCATTCTAAATTATTGACAGACATTTTCCATTTTAACAAAATGTAATTACTGCAGTGAAATATACTGCACCAGGTTAAGCTATTTCAAATAATTATGCACCGTCTGCTTAACAGTGGATGTAAAACATACTATTGTGTCATTCAAAACGAGTAGGCCATTGCATGCTTGCGTCTCGAGTCAAAATGTAGCAAATTCTCAACATTACCGACAAATTACACAACTGAGATGAAACATCATCGCCCCCTACTGACAGGCTCTTGTTCACACACTCTTTGGTTCTTTCAGTAAAGTCATGTCAGTAGCAAAAATAATAGATCAGGAAGTTTAGATCGTAACACAGGGATCTACCCAACCCACAGGGAACACAAAGACTGGCCGCTCACTCTTACTCTGCAGGTTGAACCCAGGAACTGAGTGTTCAACTTCACATTATTTTCATTAAAGGCCCGTGACAAAGGAGCATCTATTGGAGCGACGTCTCAAGCTGACACATCTACCGGGTCTCCCTTTGACTTTGTGTTTTCTAAGAAGTTCACCCACACCTCCACCTCCACAAACTGCTGGGAGTTGCCTCACTCTGCCTCACAGTCAGAATTCCCCTCCTGCTTCACGTTGCCTCCATCAATGTGAAGGTCCCATTTTGCAGTATAATCTCATCTTCACATTTTACCATCACTTCTTCACTCTTCACCATCACTTCTTTGCTCTTCACCATCACCTCTTCACATTTCACCTCGATACCTTTAAGTGTCCAAGCTGGGATTTTCCTCCAGTTATTGTTTGATGAGGGATGGGCTCATTGCGGCACTTTGACTTTCACAAGCTGATTTCAGACTCCACTCCTTGCAGATCTTCTGATGCTTGTGCGTTCTCTGGTGTCTTTAAAGATTTGATGAATGTGCAAACGCCTTCCCGCCAAGTGCACCTGAAGGGTTTCTCTCCTGTGTGTGTTCTCTGGTGTCTTTGAAGATGTTCTGACCGTGTAAACGCCTTACCGCAAAGAAAGCACCTGAAGGGCTTCTCTCCTGTGTGTGTTCTCTGGTGATTTTTAAGAGCAGATGACTGTGAAAATGCCTTGCTACACACAGTGCAATTGAAGAGTTTCTCTCCTGTGTGTGTTCTCTGATGATTTTTAAGAGTAGATGACTGACAAAATGCCTTCCCACACACAGTGCACTTGAAGGGTTTCTCTCCTGTGTGTGTTCTCTGGTGGGCCTGAACAACGGATGCTTGTGCAAACGCCTTCCCGCAAATCGTGCACCTGAAAGGTTTCACTCCAGTGTGTGTTCTCTGGTGTATTACAATATTATGTGACTGTGAAAATGCCTTCCCACACACACTGCACTTGAAGGGTTTCTCTCCCGTGTGTGTTCTCTGGTGTCTTTGAAGAGTTTGTGACTTTGCAAACGTTTTCCCGCACAGAAAGCACCTGAAGGGTTTCTCTCCTGTGTGTGTTCTCTTGTGATTTTCAAGATGATACGACTGTGAAAATGCCATGCTACACACACTGCACTTGAAGGGTTTCTCTCCCGTGTGTGTTCTCTGGTGTTTTTTTAAGAACAGATGACAGTGGAAATGCCTTCCCACACACAGTGCACTTGAAGGGTTTCTCTCCTGTGTGTGTTCTCTGGTGCTGTGTCAAATTTCCAGTGCGATCCGTGCTGTATGCACTCTGGTCGCATTGTTGCCTTGCCGTACCGAGCTGTGCTGACTGCCTTTGCTCCATTAGACCAATTCTGCAGAGGAAGCGTCGAAGGAAGCGTCAGCTGCAGACAGATAATAGGAATGTCCACACCATTCTAGATTTGAAGCTTTCGTGACTGCAAGGATTCATATTCTTAGGTTTTTTCGGTAAAGTCACGTAGGTAAAAATTTAAATTAAAGTAAAAATAAACAAATTAAAAAATTCACGACGTTTCGGAAGCAACACAAGCCTCCGTCTTCAGGTGGAACCGTCACAGCCACGACAGCTGTATCAAGTAAAAAAAGAAATACAAAAAAAATACAGCTGTCGTGGCTGTGACGTTTCCACCTGAAGACGGAGGCTTGTGTTGCTTCCGAAACGTCGTGAATTTTTTATTTGTTTTATTTTACTTTTATTAATTTACATTTTTTACCTACGTGACTTTACCGAAAAAAACCTAAGAATATATCCACTCCGGTATCGAGGCACAGAAGAACGCATACGTACAGTCACACTTGACTTACACGTCTATACTTATTCATATATTCATGATGTAGTAAAAACGTTTACTCAAATTCATCACACGGGCTGTGATGGCACACAATGAGAGGGCAAGTGGTCATAAATATGCCTGGGAGCCCTCGTATCTTAAAAATGAATGTTAACCCAAAACTCCGAGCACACAATTTCGGCTGTCTGGCTACAAAAGGAATATGTATAAAAGCTAAATTCAGCTGACATTGCAAAGGGTGTTGAAAACAATTCTATTTGTGCTATGGCAGAAATGCATAAATTAACGTTCAACCACAACTTAGATGTCCTTGAATGCTGGGATGAACAGATCCGAATTCAGCTGCATGTGCTTCCAGAGGGAAACAAAAATAAACTATTGTTTTGATATAACCTCCGTGTTCAACAGAGTTAATAGACTTTACTGCAAACACAAACTTGACACTGTCACACACTGGCATGGTTAACAGGTGGTGGTGTGTCCAGACCCATGCCTGGCCACCTTCATCTGCTCAGAATAAATGATTCCTCACTCCACCAAGTAATTGAGGATCAATCAACATAGCCGAGGCTAACTGGAGTTTGTGTGTCTCTCTCTCTCCGTGGTGAGATGTTAACTACCTCACCTGGTATACAGGAAGTCGTGGGTTCGATCCCGACCCTGACGCCTGCTGCTGCTGTATATTTGGGGTTTGCGTGTCTCTCTCTCTCCGTGGTGAGATGTTAACTACCTCACCTGGTATACAGGAAGTCGTGGGTTCGATCCCGACCCTGACGCCTGCTGCTGCTGCTGCTGTATATTTGGAGTTTGCGTGTCTCTCTCTCCGTGGTCGCGTGGATTTTCCTCCGAATCTCCCGGGTTTCCCCTCCACATTTAGAGTCAACATCAGCACGCGTTTAGCGTCTTTGACCGATACACATTTCCACACGTATTCTTGGTTCTTTCGGTAAAGTCACGTAGATAGACAATAACAACAGATAATAACATCAAATAAAGGACACTTGTGTTGCGATCGAAACGTCGTGTTTTTTCTCTTTATTTACAATTTTAATAATTTTTATTTCATCATCTGTTATTTTTATTAAATTTTCTGTCTAAGTGACTTTACCGAAAGAACCAAGAATATGAATTCCTGCAGTCACGAAAGTTTTAAGTCCACACATTCACACGCAAGTTCACAAAGCCTCACCTTGCGTTGTGGGCAGGTAGCTTCTGAGAACAAGAGCGGTAGAGCAGCTCAAGCCGGCTTGGCCTGGTAACAAAAATAGAAAAATAGAAACGGCATGAATATTTACAGTGAGGAAAAAAGTATTTGATCCCCTGCTGATTTTGTACGTTTGCCCACTGACAAAGAAATGCTCAGTCTATAATTTTAATGGTATGTTTATTTGAACAGTGAGAGACAGAATAACAACGACAAAATCCTGAAAAACGCATGTCAAAAATGTTATAAATTGATTTGCATTTTAATGGCGGAAATACGTATTTGACCCCCTCTCAATCAGAAAGATTTCTGGCTCCCAGGTGTCTTCTATACAGGTAACGAGTTGAGATTAGGAGCACACTCTTAAAGGGAGTGCTCCTAATCTTAGCTTGTTACCTGTATAAAAGACACCTGTTCACAGAAGCAATCAATCAGATTCCAAACTCTCCACCATGGCTAAGACCAAAGAGCTCTCCAAGGATGTCAGGGACAAGATTGTAGATCTGCACAAGGCTGGAATGGGCTACAAGACCATCGCCAAGCAGCTTGGTGAGAAGGTGACAACAGTTGGTGCGATTATTCGTAAATGGAAGAAACACACAAGAACTGTCAATCTCCCTCGGCCTGGGGTTCCATGCAAGATCTCACCTCGTGGAGTTGCAATGATCATGAGAACAGTGAGGAATCAGCCCAGAACTACACGGGAGGATCTTGTCAATGATCTCAAGGCAGCTGGGACCATAGTCACCAAGAAAACAGTTGGTAACACACTACGCCGTGAAGGACTGAAATCCTGCAGCGTCCGCAAGGTCCCCGTTGCTCAAGAAAGCACATATACATGCCCGTCTGAAGTTTGCTAATGAACATCTGAATGATTCAAAGGACAACTGGGTGAAAGTGTTGTGGTCAGATGAGACCAAAATGGAGCTCTTTGGCATCAACTCAACTCGCCGTGTTTGGAGGAGGAATGCTGCCTATGACCCCAAGAACACCATCCCCACCGTCAAATATGGAGGTGGAAACATTATGCTTTGGGGGTGTTTTTCTGCTAACGGGACAGGACAACTTCACCGCATCAAAGGGACGATGGACGGGGCCATGTCCCGTCACATCTTGGGTGAGAACCTCCTTCCCTCAGCCAGGGCATTGAAAATGGGTCGTGGATGGGTATTCCAGCATGACAATGACCAAAAAAACACAGCCCAAGGCAACAAAGGAGTGGCTCAAGAATAAGCACATTAAGGTCCTGGAGTGGCCTAGCCAGTCTCCAGACCTTAATCCCATAGACAATCTGTGGAGGGAGCTGAAGGTTCGAGTTGCCAAACGTCAGCCTCGAAACCTTAATGACTTGGAGAAGATCTGCAAAGAGGAGTGGGACAAAATCCCTCCTGAGATGTGTGCAAACCTGGTGGTGGCCAACTACAAGAAACGTCTGACCTCTGTGATTGCCAACAAGGGTTTTGCCACCAAGTACTAAGTCATGTTTTGCATGAGGGGGTCAAATACTTATTTCCCTCATTAAAATGCAAATCAATTTATAACATTTTTGACGCGTTTTTCTGGATTTTGATGTTATTCTGTCTCTCACTGTTCAAATAAACCTACCATTAAAATTATAGACTCATCATTTCATTGTCAGTGGGCAAACGTACACAATCAGCAGGGGATCAAATACTTTTTCTTGGTTCTTTCGGTAAAGTCACGTAGAAGGTAAGTAATAAAACAACAAAAATAAAACAATGAAATAATATAATAGTAATATAATTATTTTTATGTTTTATTTTTTATTATATTATTACTTCCCTTCTACGTGACGACTTTACCGAAAGAACCAAGAAATTGAATCCCTGCAGTCACGAAAGAAGCTTTAAATCTAAATTTAGATCAAATACTTGTCCCCTCACTGTAACAATAAAACAGAGTTACAAAGTGGCGAGCCGCGTGAAGACACATTAATTTAAACTAACTCAGGCGAGGGCAGGAGGCAAGGCCCCGCGTGGCCAGGCCGCGCCTTGTGATGTTCCAACCTGGATATCGATTCCAATGCTACTCAATTGACATCCCTACGAGAGGCTCTACCTTGGTAAACAACAACCACAAACCACCACGAGAATTTATCACCTCAGATTTCAGATAAAGCGTGGAGCGGGCAGCTTCCTGTTACCTCGTGACGTCACGCGGCAGCAGAAAGTGACATGACGTCACTTCCGGGATACAAGACACTCCCCTCCCACAGATTCAGCAGTGACCATCGCGGAGGTGACGTCACGCACCACAAGGGCGTGGTGGAGTGTGACGTCACAGAGCTGGATTGGAGTTTAAGTTTTTAGATTAAATTTCCATTGCTCCATCTCTTGAACAGAGACCCCTTGGGTGTGTGAGCTGAGCAACTACAACGTGGACATTATTGTGTGTGTACACAGTGAGTGTGTGTACACTGTGTGTGTACACTGTGTGTGTATACTGTGTGTGTGTGCACAGTGTGTGTGTACACTGTGCGTGTGTGTGTACACTGTGTGTGTGTGTACAGTGTGTGTGTGTACACTGTGTGTGTGTGTACACTGTGTGTGTGTGTACTGTGCGTGTGTACACTGTGCGTGTGTACACTGTGTGTGTACACTGTGCGTGTGTACACTGTGTGTGTACACTGTGTGTGTATACTGTGTGTGTGTGCACAGTGTGTGTGTACACTGTGTGTACACTGTGCGTGTGTGTGTACACTGTGTGTGTGTGTACAGTGTGTGTGTGTACACTGTGTGTGTGTGTGTACACTGTGTGTGTTGTGGTGTACTGTGCGTGTGTACACTGTGCGTGTGTACACTGTGTGTGTATACTGTGCGTGTGTACACTGTGCGTGTGTACACTGTGTGTGTACACACGCACACTGTACACAGTGTGTGTACACACACTATGTACACTGTGTGTGTGTACACTCTGTGTGTACACATTGCGTGTGTACACTGTGTGCACAGTGTGTGTACAGTGTGTGTACACTGTGAGCGTGTGTGTGTACACAGTTGTACACACACACCACACTGTGTACAGTGTGGGTGCACTGTGTACACTGTGTGTGCATTGTGTACGTACAGTGTGCGTTACATGTACGCACACAATCAGACAAGTATTCATTCTAAATTATTGACAGGCATATGCACAACATTTAATTACTGCAGTGAAATATACTGCATCAGATGACATCTTATTCTCTGGTTCTTTCAGTAAAGTCTCGTAGAACGAAATTTAATAGAATACGACGTTTCGATTGGAACACAAGCAACCATCGTCAGGTACAACAAGTGAATGAGAAAACATAGTGAACTTAGAAATATAATGCAACACAACACAAGAGTCAGCCAACACAACAGTCAACACCCTACCTGGTTGATTACGTTCTGCCAAAATTGAACAATTTAGTTTAGATAACATCTTATTAACAAGGAGCTATTTAAAGAATGCACCCTCTACTGAACAGTGGATGTGAAACACATAATTGTGCAATTCAAAACGAGTAGGCCTTTGCATGTTGGCGTCTGGGTCAAAAATGTAGCAAATTCTAAACATTACCTACTAACGACACAGCTGAGATGACAGATCATCATCGCCCCCTACTGACAGGCTCTTGTCCACACGCAGGCCGGTGCAGGGCCACCACCTTGTGCCACACAGGGGCAGCTGCTACTTGGGGTGCTCTTAGAATGTTTGAGACGAGGTACGATACAAAACTCCGAGTTGCTGAGCGGATTAAGTCAGCACCATGTAAAAGCAATTATAACATCGTGAATGCTTGGGAGCTTATTGGCTCTCAGAGATCTACCCAACACACAGGTCCACAAAGACTGGCCACCCTTACCCTGCAGACTGAACCTAGGAACCTGAGTGTTCAACTTCACGTTATTGTCATTAAAGGCCTGTGACAAAGGTGCATCTATTGGAGCGACATCGTCTCTGGCTTACACATTTACCGGGTCTCCATTTCACTTTGTATTGTCTCGGAGGAAGTCCACCGACACCTCCACTTCCACAAACTGCTGGGAGTTGCCTCGCTCTGCCTCAGTCAGAATTCTCCTCCTGCTTCACGTTGCCTCCATCCATGTGAAGGTCACATTCTGGACTTGAATCTTCATCTTCACACTTTACCTTCACTTCTTTACTCTTCACCATCACTTCTTCACATTCCACCTTCACCTCTTCATATTTCACCTCGTTACCTTTAAAAGTGTCCAAGCTGGGATTTTCTTCCGGTTCTTGTTTGATGAGGGATGGGCTCATTGCAGCACTTTGACTTTCACAAGCTGATTTCACACTCCAGTCCTTGTGGATCTTCTGATGCTTGTGTCTTCTCTGGTGTACTTGAAGATTGGAAGAATCTGAAAACGCCTTCCCGCACAGAATGCACTTGAAGGGTTTCTCTCCCGTGTGTGTTCTCTGGTGTCTTTTAAGATCTGATGACCGTGAAAGTGCCTTCCCACACACAGTGCACTTGAAGGGTTTCTCTCCCGTGTGTGTTCTCTGGTGTTTTATAAGAGAAGATGACTGTGAAAATGCCTTCCCACACACAGTGCACTTGAAGGGTTTCTCTCCCGTGTGTGTTCTTTGGTGTGTTACAAGAGTAGATGAATGTGCAAATGCCTTCCCACACACACTGCACTTGAAGGGTTTCTCTCCCGTGTGTGTTCTCTGGTGTCTTACGAGATGATGTAAAAAGAAAACGCCTTCCCGCACAGAGTACACTTGAAAGGTTTCTCTCCTGTGTGTGTTCTCTGGTGTCTTTTAAGAACAGATGACCGTGAAAGTGCCTTCCCACACACACTGCACTTGAAGGGTTTCTCTCCCGTGTGTATTCTCTGGTGTTTTTTAAGAGAAGATGACTGTGCAAATGCCTTCCCGCACAGAGTACACTTGAACGGTTTCCTCTCCTATGTGTGTTCTCTGGTAGTCTTTTAAGATTATTTGACTGTGAAAATGCCACCCCACACACACTACACTTGAAGGGTTTCTCTCCCGTGTGTGCTCTCTGGTGTCTTTTAAGATAATATGACCGTGAAAATGC